GCACAGGCACCAAGATGTCCAACGGAGTGGTCTGCCGGGAAGCCAGTCACGCCGGGAGCTGGTACACAGCCTCAGGACCTCAGCTGAATGCAGAGCTAGAAGGTTGGCTTTCTCAAGTACAGTCCACAAAAAGGCCTGCTAGAGCCATTATTGCACCCCACGCAGGATATACGTACTCTGGGTCTTGTGCTGCCCATGCGTACAAACAAGTGGATTCATCTGTTACCCGTAGAATTTTCATCCTTGGGCCTTCTCATCACGTGCCCCTCTCGCGATGTGCACTTTCCAGTGTGGATATATACAAAACACCTCTGTATGACCTTCGTATTGACCAAAAAATTTACGGCGAACTATGGAAAACAGGAATGTTTGAACGCATGTCTCTGCAGACAGATCAAGATGAACACAGTATTGAGATGCATTTGCCTTATACAGCTAAAGCCATGGAAAGCCATAAGGATGAGTTTACCATTATTCCTGTACTGGTTGGAGCTCTGAGTGAGTCAAAAGAACAGGAATTTGGAAAACTCTTCAGTAAATACCTAGCGGATCCTAGCAACCTCTTCGTGGTTTCTTCTGATTTCTGCCATTGGGGTCAAAGGTTCCGTTACAGTTACTATGATGAATCCCAGGGGGAGATTTATAGATCCATTGAACATCTAGATAAAATGGGCATGAGTATTATAGAACAATTAGACCCTGGATCTTTTAGCAGTTACTTGAAGAAATACCATAACACGATATGTGGAAGACATCCCATTGGGGTGTTATTAAATGCTATCACGGAGCTCCAGGAGAACGGAATGAATATGAGCTTTTCCTTTTTGAATTATGCCCAGTCGAGCCAGTGTCGAAGCTGGCAAGACAGTTCCGTGAGTTACGCAGCTGGAACACTCACAGTCCACTGAAGCTCTGACTCCTCAGGGATGCCACCGAAACTTGCTCCTACCCTGCCTGGGCTCCCAGCCTGGCCCTTACGAGACTTGGTTTGGAGGGATTCTGAAACCTCAAATGAATAAAACTTTCTTCTTTTCTAGTAGGTGTAGTCCTTCCTTGATTTCAACTCATTTTCAAAATGCTTTGTTGTTAGGGCGGTGGAAGGAGGGCTGGCATCAAAACATTTTGGTCAAAAATATGGCAGTGTAAAAGCCCAATTGTGGCAGTTTGTTGAAAGTAACTTGCAAAGCATTTACCATATCCTAAATTTGCACTCTTTGTAGACTTGTGCACATATATTCTGCTTTCAGAATGGTTTTGCAAATTGTACACAAACAAATGGTATAAGCTTTTTAATGAAAATTGCATTTATAAGTGATCTGTATTAGAATATAATAAATCGCCAGTTACAGTCGATTATTACCCAAGCAGATACCTTCTACTTTAGTTGCTAATAAAGGGCTACACAACTCCAAAAAAAAAATCTTCCTTACAACAGTCTTTGCCCCCCACCCCCACCCAGGAATAGGTGTACTTTAGAAAGCAATTTTTAAAAATCATTTTACTGGGGGCTCTTATAGCTCTTATAATATTCCATACATCATTTGTTTCAAGCATATTTGTACATAGGTTGCCATCATCATTGTCTAAACATTTTACTTTCTAGAAAGCAATTTTAACAGTGGATTCCCAAAAAAGCCTGGCCCACCGCTGCCCTGAGGTCATTCTGTAATTAACTGAAGAGCACTTAAACTCAAAATTATGTACCCTTAACCAATCCTGTAACAAGCCCTGGTGGCGTAGTGGTTATGCATTGGGCTGCTAACCCCGAAGTCAGCAGTTAAAACCCAGCAGCCTTGGGGAAAAGTTGAGGTTTTCTACTCCCACAGAGACCTGGTAGCTCTGTTGGGTAAGCGTTGGACTGCTAATCTCAAGGTCAGTGATTCAAGGACACCAACCACTCCTTGGAAGAAAGATAAGGCGCTTAGCTCCTGTAAAGATTTACAGCTTCAGAAATCCCTTAGGGCGTCACTAGGAGTTGGAAACATGTGCTCAAACTTTGAGCTTTAATACAATTCCCTCCTCTGATCTTGTTTTTTATTATTTACAATTCTTAGATAACACTGGCTGGTGCCCTTCTTCCATGTGGGCTTTGCTGACATCTTATTTAGATGGCTGCTTGTTTTAAGACAAGCTTTTAAAACCCCAGAGGCTATTATTTCTGATAGCTAGGCACCATCTGCCTTCTTCACGACACTGCTACAGCACTTATATCTCCAACGCACTATTGCTTTTGTGATCCAATTGTGTTAACCTACTGAACGTAAAGTGCATCCTAGATATGCCACACAAGCCAGGTGCCTCCATTTCCCCAGTAGCTTGATGTGCATCCTTGAAGGCCCTCTAAAGCAAGCAGCAGAAGGCATGCCCATTCTCCCTTGTCTGCCCATAGAGTGGGAAGCTGGTCACTGAACAGGAAAAACAAAGACAAAGCCAGTTGCCATTGAGTTGATTGCAACTCCTAGTAAACCCATGTGTGTGCCACACTACCTTAGGGATTCCATTGGCTGAATTTTCAGGAGCAAATTGCCAGGCCTTTCTTCTGCGGTGCCTGTGGGTGGACTTGAACCTCCAGTCTTCTGGTTGGCAGCCATCAGCATCACCCAAGGACGCCCGACTTCATTCAACAGTCTCATCAAAACCATTTTATCTCTCACAATAGTGGACATCTTTTATTATTTTTGGCTGTAACAGGAATCCCCTTCCTCTTTCTCCATTAGCTTCTCTATGAGTTTAAAAGAGCCACCTTTCCTCTTGTTTAAGAGGCCCCTTCTCTTCCTCATTTAGCTCTCATAGATGACTCATTGAGCACCTACTTTGTGCCATAGGATCTCTCTTTTGTTCAAAAAGCAGGATGTGCTAATCAATTTCGTTCCTGGGATAAGCACCCTAGCTAGCAATGACGAGTTATTTTTCACTGCTGTGAAATTAGGCTCTACGAGGATCTCCTACTGTTCTTCATGGATATAGCCCCAATCCCATCTCGGAGTCCGGCCCCCTAGGAGGAGCTCAGCACATTTTTGCTGAATGGTTCCTGATGAGACAGTCACTGCCTCTTGTTTGTTAGGCCCACACAGCCTCTCTGCCAGCCAGGTCTTTTCCTTGGAAACCCCAGCTCTGACCCAGCCTTTATTACTGCAGACCAGGCTGCTATAGTAGTAGACTGCGCCCCCTGCTGGAGTCTTCTCTCTTTCTCAGTCCCATAGCATGACAGGCTAGCGGGATCTTCTAAAGCAATCCCATTCTCTTGATAAAAAAAAACTTCAGTCATGGTGTTTCCCAAGTGACATGTAATGCCTTATTGGTTCCCTTCAAGATGTAGACTTGTGATGTTGATATTCCAGGCCCTACATACATCGGCATCAATTTCCTTTGATTCCCTATACTTACTGCCCCCTTACATCTCATAGCAACCTATAGGTTTCCAAGATTGCAAATCTCCACAGGAGTAGAAAACCTTGTCTTTCTACTGAGGAGCAACTAGTGGTTTCAAACTGCCGACCTTGTGGTTAGCACCCCAATGTGTAACCCACGACACCATCAGAGCTCTCGATGGCAGGGAGTTTGGTTTTTGTTTGGTTCCCCCTTAAATGAGTTAGAATGGATTTGATGGCAGTGAATAGGCGAGGTTCCCTCCCACCCCTGTGCTTCAGGCAAGCTTCATGTCACTGTTACCTCCTGTGGAGTCAACCCTAACCCCGGGTGGAACGCAGCCCTGCCAGCCCTGATGGTTTGCAGATTCTTGCATCATAGCAATGCACAAACCTCCACTGAGAGACAGGTGCACGGTGACTGGGCACTAGGTACCTGGCCTGGGAATCGGACTTGGATCTGCCACATGGAAGGCAAGAATGCTACCATAAGACCAGCAATGCCCCCACAGACAAGCTGCTTGTTATTTTATGACCAAAATCTTGGACATTCCAGCCCAGGCCATGCTTCTCCTTCTTTCTACAAGGGGGCTTCAAAGAAGTTTGTGGACAACCCCCATGTCTCTCAATTCCATTTTGAAGCCCCCTGGTATTGAGTCTCCAAGCCACTGGCTTCTTCCCTTCTTTGTCCCTTCTTTGTCTGTTTCTGACTCGGAATTCTAAAAGCATTTCTGATCTACCTGTGCTGTCCAACACCACGGCCATGAATCATGGGTGGCTATTGAAATTGACATAGAATGAAATCAGATAAAATGTCAAGTTCCGTTCCTCCGTAGGACTAGCTCTATTTCAAGGACCCGATAGCTGCAACTGACAAATGTGCATCGACCATTCCTTCATGACAGAAAGCCCTAGTTGATGGCACCGACCGGAAGACTTCACGAGGATGTCCTCACCGGCTGCGCCGCTACTTGCTTGGTGGGTTCACCAGCGTATGGCCGGAATCCCCAGCTAAGCCGCCAGGCAGGTTGTGGCCAACGCTCATTTGTAACACACTGTGCTTAAGGACTGCATGTTAGTGGCTGTGTTCCCAAAGGACAGTGCCTTTTTTTCCTTTTTAATAATCTCTTTCTGTTAGCTTTCAGCCATCGCTGCTGCAAAAATCTTCCCAGTGGTTGAAATACCTACTCCTAAGGCATATCCCATTAAGATACAAAAGTTTGAGGATATGTTCGTTTAGAACCACTCATTTAGTCTGCCATTTCTTGTTGAGATGATGAATGAGCCTGTGACTCCCTGCGGGGGCACACTCTTCGTCACGTCTTGTCCTCCTTTCAAAAGGAACACGTGGTTATGAGACGTGTGGGGCGGGTGGGCCAATGTCTTAACCATTCAGAAGTCACCCTTGCACATCCATGAAAAAACGAAAGGTCCTGGAGGTGCACTGGTTAAGCAATCAGCTGCTATCCCCAAGGTGGGTAGTTCGACCCCACCTAGCACAAAGATGAAAGCCTAGGAAACCCTATAAAGCAGTTCTACTCTGGCACATGGGGCCGCCACCAGTCAGAATCCACTCGATGGCACCCAAGCCAATATCCTGCCCTCAACTCTGAACCTACTGTCCCCATAGGTAGAGTATCAAATGACTGGTAGGCTCCCAGACTGGGTCATTACAGGCTATGTCATGGATTGAACTGCACACACATGGGGCCCCTATGAGTCAGATTGATTCAACAGCCAGTGGTATAGTCTTGGTTTTTTTTTTAAGTTATTCTAATCATACAAACCAAACGAAACAAACAAAACAACAACAGTGACTAGACAAAACTGAGGAAAACCTCAATCGAAAGAACGCAGAAAATATTAAAAAACTGAAACAACTTTAAAATGGGTCCAAAGGGCCAAACTGGCCCCCTCCCTGGAGGTAGGTTTGGCAGAGAGCAGGTTGGGGAGAGGGCCCTGCATGCCACACCCGCAGGGAGGCAGGCAGGCAGGGAAGAAGAGAAAGAGAGTCGGACTGGGCCCCACGCTGGCACAGGATGCTCAGAGGATGACATCTCTGCTGGGAGCTAATGGGACACAGAGGGGACTGGGCAAATGACAACCGCACTTATCACGCTGTCCCCTTACTGGAGCAGACTGTGACAGAGGACATTTCTGGGGTCACATGGTGGGGAAGCAGTGTGGTCTGAACCCCCCAAAATAAAAAAGGGCGCATACCTGGAGAAACAATCTGGAGGAGAAAACAACCAGCCTGACTGTTCAGGGGGACAAGGAAAAGGGGGAGTGGGATGGGGGGGAAGGAAGTTGTGTTAACAAACTCAGGGACAAGGGAACAACAAGCAGTCCTAAATCAGCAGTGAGGAGGGTGGAGGAGGCCTAGTAGGGCTTAAGCAAGGGTAATGTAACCGAGAAGAAATGCTGAAACCTAAATGAAGGCTGAGCAGGATAGTGGGACAAGAGGAAAGTAAAAGGAAATAGAGGAAAGAACTAGGGGGTAAAGGGCATTTATAGAGGTCTAAATAAAGGCATGTACACATGTAAATATACTTATATATGAGGATGGGGAAATAGATCTATGTGCATATATTTATAGGTTTAGTATTAAGGTAGCAGATGGACATTGGGCCTCCACTCAAGTG